ACTTTCCTCAACTCAGACCTGTAAATAGCTTATTTCCTGATGACACTGGAGACTTTACAAACCTTGCTATAAAAGGCTTACTATCAAGTACGACTCCTCAATATTTTTCTAAATGCACAGGATTGCACTTGTGAGTTTAATTTCTGGCAAAGGAGCCCTTTTGCGTGGGTTGGCTGTAAATGTCCCAGTTATTAAACTCTTCTTTCTACAGGATGTACAAGGTCACTGCTGCTCTTGACTGGAGCAAGCCTGGCTTTAGTGAGCTGGGTTTAGAGCAGGGTTAGTGTTGAGTGAGCTCAACACTAGTCAGATTTAGGGGGTGCTCCTGATTCAGCTCCTCTCCCTCTTAAAAATCAGCCAGAGGGGATTGCTGGCCTGAGCCTGACACCAATCCCTGTTTTATCCACAGAAAACTCCTGGATACAGAACTGTAAAGGCCCAGAGCAGAGCAGGGCACATTGTACCCCAACACTCACAAAACCCTCTCCCTAAACTTGTCCTGCTGCCTTCACCAGCCCAGAGATCCCAGCCTGAGCTCCTGATGGGCTCCCTCAGCTCCAGAGCTGCTTCTGGTGGCCACAGAGCTCCAGCCCTGATCTTCTCCAGCCCAAATCTGGTCCAGCCCAAACCTTTTCTAGGCCAAACCTTGTCCAGCCTTGACCTTGTCCAGCCCATGCCTTCTCTAGGCCAAACCTTGTCCAGCCCTGACCTTTTCCAGACCATGCCTTGTCCAACCAAAACCTTCTCCAGCCCAAACCTTCTCCAGCCCAGGCCTTGTCCAGCCTAAAACTTCTCCAGTCCAGACCTTCTCCAGCCCAAACCTGGTCCAGCCCAACGTCCAGTGTCCCCTCTCCCAGAAGGCTTTTCCTTCCACAAATCCCAGACTGGGTCAGGCTGGAGGGACCACAGTGGGCATCTGGTGCCACCTCCCTGCCCAGCAGGGCCATCCCAGGGCACAGGGCACAGCAGAGTGGAAGCTCTGCCTCGTGTCCAGGAGGAATTTCTGGGCATCAGCTCCTGCCCGTTCCTCTGGTGCATTGCTGAGRGGCACAGCAGAGCCTGGAGCTGTTATCCCAGCCTCAATTCCTGCTCCAGTTATCCTGCTGTGTCCCTGGTCAGGGCTGCTGGGCTGTCCTAGCCACGTTCCCCTGCTGATCCTGGCTGCACAGACTGGGACAGGATTTCCCTGGGACAGGATTTCCTGGGGGATGGCCGTGTTTTCCCCCAGAATGATGATGGAATGCAGGAGATGCACTGGTCATTAGCAGGACATTAACACAGATTTTCCAGCACAGCTCTGATCCCCAGGCTCAACCTGGGAAGGTGTTTGTGCCTTGAGAGGGCAGGAACTGGGGGTCAGTGCGTGGTTCTGGCTCAAAGCGATTGCAGAATTAATTGTTTGTCTTAGCTGAGGGAATTCCTTGCTGGATCTGATCCCTCCAGCTTTTACTTGGACACCTGCTGACCAAAATCTGGGCTGATGCTGCTGCAGTAGAACAAAAACCCTGCAAAAATGAGCCACGTAACTGTGGACAGGGAAGATGTGCTGTGGCAGCATCAATGTTTCAAAACGCACCCAGAGATCCCTGTGCAAACAAGATTGTTTCTCTTTTCAGCGAATTTTAATAGTGACCATTAATACACTTGTCAGGGAAGTGACACCACTTTGTTTTCCTATTACCAAGCAAAAAATGTTTAATATCTTCACTGTTTAGTTGGCAGTGTAACTGTGAGCACTTTTAACAAACACTTTATTTCATGCCCATCCCTTCATATCCTCCTCTTACTGCTCCAGAGACTGAAATGTCCTTTTTCTTCTGATCACCCAACCAAGCAAAGCCTTTAGGAGCCCCCAGTGAGGCCATGGTTGCCAGGACATGGCTCTTCCCACCCCAAGGGAAGCTAAAATGAAGAATATTCTGCTCCTTAACCCAAAACCTGCCCTGATGATTTCTTGGGCCGAACAAATTCTCATTATTAACTAATTTCCAGAACTTAGGTGGAAAGGGAAGGCTGAGCCCAACGTCCCCATGGCATTTCCAGGGTGGGAGACAGGAATGATGCTCCTGTTTCTGTCCTCAGGAGCAGGAATGAGCCAGCTGCTGTGKTGACAAAAAATGGGGTTTTTTACTGCACTGAGCAGTGCCATGGAAAATGCATCGAGTTAGCTCGGAGTAAAATAATTCCCTCCATATCTCTCACATAAAATTAGCCATTATTTCTGCTGAGATCAAGTTACCAGCTGTTACAGCTGCTGTTGCGGGTTGGAACACTAGAAAAGATGAATTTACCAAATGAAAGGGGAGGCAGGGAATGCTAAAAGCTTTCCTTCACACCCTCAGTGCCTGTGATGCCGAACACCAGAGGTGTCTGGGGACTCCTGGGACAAAGGGACAGCTTTGGTGGCTGCTTTGCTTCTCGGTAGCCTTGACAGGGCCATGGAGGGGGTTTTACACATCCCAAGTTGCTGAAATCAAAGCCTTGGCTCGGTTTTCCCTCCTGCTGTGGCCCCTGGGCAGCCACTCACACCAGTCCAGCTCTGAAATGGGCTGGGGCACATGGGGCTGCTCCAAATTCACTTTTGGATTATCCCAGAATTTCATTTCCAGCTTCATCCAAGCTGCCTTGGGCTGGGGGAGACTGACATGAGAGCAATGTGCGGGTTGTTTCTAAAAAACATTTACAGTTAAAGAAAATTAAATCTGTTTGGAGTAGAAAACAGCTACGGAAGAGAACGAGTCACTAGGAACTTGTAAAATCCTATATTCACAGCRATCATAAACCCAAAACTGTGGTCAATAAACCCAAAAATGCCTCCTTAGCAAGGATGAGCAATAACTGTAATGTGCAAGTAAGAAGATATAAATATTCAACAAAGAAAATATCGAATTTGATTTTTTTTTTTTTTTTTGCAACATCTAGACATTCTCCTACGTATTTTAGAAGAACCTTTGCAGCTTTTTTTGGGCAGTTTGGTTTTTCAAGCATTACATGATTCATACAGCTACATCAGAGCTCCAAAAAAACAGATCATCAGGGCCAACTCCCTTCTCTTCATCCCYGGAGAAGTTGCAGAAGAGGCTCTGAGGGCAGGAATGTTGGGGGCAATGTCCCCTCTTTGGTGTCCCAGGGCTGGAGCAGGGCCCAGGGACACCCCCTGTACCCCCGGGGGAAGGCACTGCCTGCATTATTAACTGCTAAACTCTGCATTATTAACTGCTAAACTCTGCATTATTAACTGCTAAACGCTGCCGTTTGAAAATGCGCAATTCGATCAATTAAACTCGGACTGCCATCAATTCTCCTCCAACTGCCTGCAAATGTGCTGCTGGGGAGGGAAGCATCCATCAGAGCCAGGGCTGTGCCAAACTTCTCATCACTCCATGCTAACACATTCCCTGCCATCACAGGGCCATTAGGATTTTTTGTTTTAATGCTGTTTTAGTCAATTCTTCCATCCGTTGGAAGTTATTTCAGAATAAGGAATGCTGGTTCTACAGTTTTCCCCATCCCAGCAGAGTCTGCTCAGTTCTCATTCAAATCTCAGCTCCCAGAGAGAAAATCTGACTCAACAGAATCCAGGTGCCATTCCTCTGTCCCTTCCTCCAAAGCACAACCACAGAATAACAGTATAAAAATAAATAATGAAATGTTCTTTGCTGTGTTCTACCTACAGCCCCACATCATAATCTAAAATAAATATGATGATTTAATTATTTAATATGATCAGATTTGGAAGTAAGTGTTGTACAAATGGCATTCCTGACACCTCCCCCCAGAGGAGTATTTTTTAAAGCTGTATTTAGTTTTATTATTTTACATAGTACTGTCTTTTGTGGGCTGTGATTTGGTTGAGGTTTCACTGTGTTCTCATTGAAAAGATGCAATTTCCTGCCTTCTGCTGTTACAATTTTTTGTCGCCGTGTTYTCTCAGGTATCACAGAGTCACRCAGTGATTKGGGYTGGGMAGGACCTTAAAGCTCACCCAGTGCCACCCCTGCCATGGGTGACACCTCCCWYTGTCCCAGGSTGCTCCAAATTCTGTCCAGCCTGGCCTTGGGCACTGCCAGGGATGGGGAGCCCATACAGCACAACCTGATTATTTCAGCTACATAAAAACCCAAATCTTTTGTTTGACAAGTCTCAACTGCACTCAGCAGAGCAATTCTCCAACAAAGTGAGAATGAAAGAGATTTTACCGCGAGCTTTTCCTAGAATATGTGTTTAAAGCCCCACCGTACACCAGATGTTCTGAGGTGCCTGGACAAGGCTAGGTTAATTGAAATCTACGCTTGCATGAACAACTTCAGGCAAAGCAGACACAAATGTGGGGCTTACACAGCAATTTGGAATTGTGGCGAGCAGTTCATCCGATCACAATGCAGTGCAAACAGCTGAAATAAGGGCAGTACATTCATTTAATCAAATTTACTGTTATTGTTTGGTGCTGAGCTGGATTAAATCTAAGCTGTTATCTGGAACCAATTTGATTAACTCGGATGAATTTTGGCAAAGTTCATACACATTTAGCGTCAAACTTCTACACCAACAGCTTCCTGAGCCTTAATTCCCCACGCCTGGAACCTGAGCCTTGGGGACAGGAACTGAGGCTGGCACTGGTTTGGGACCTGGCCGTGCTCACCAACACATCCTCCATCCTTAGCACTCCCCAGGATATTCAAACCACTCCTAAAGAGTAAAACTGAAAGGTATCCCAGACTTTTATTTTTAGGTAATCCATTCAGAGAGATTTTTCATGGAAACCCCAAGCAGGAGAGGGCTCCAAACTCCCCATAATTTACCTATACCAGACTAGGATTTTTGTAGAAGATTACTGTTACAATAATGATTATTTTCAGATTTGTTTTTTTAAAGGTTGAAGAAAGTAAATAATAGATGAACTGTATATGAGCTGAGCATAACATATACCCTAATCTGCTTTCAGGAMCACCTTCAGACWCTGATTTGCRGAAGATTCTGAAACACCRAGGAGCAGCTRAGAGTCTTCAGAGCATTTCTTAACTTCTCTAAACTCAGAAAATCATCTTTCACCTTTCTGGATGTCCAAGCCTTTCACCTTAAACGTCAAGCTTTACATTTTCTGCCTGATAGAGGATCACCCTCTCTCTCCGTGGGGATTTTAGGGGCCTGCGGAGCTGAACTCCCTCGCTGGCCAGCATGGCAAAGGTCAGAGTTGTTTTAACTGTGTGCCAGGTGGTGCTAGAATTGTTAATGAATTCATTAACTGAGTCTTCCATACAGAGCAACGAATGTCCACAGCTTTGTGTCTGTGAAATCAGGCCCTGGTTTACACCCCAGTCCACGTACAGGGAAGCCACCACAGTTGACTGCAATGACCTGCGGTTAACAAAAATCCCCAGCAACCTCTCCAGTGACACCCAAGTCCTTCTGTTACAGAGCAACAACATCGCAAAGACCACAGACGAGCTCCAACAGCTCTTCAATCTGACAGAATTGGATTTTTCACAAAATAACTTCACGAGTATCAGAGATGTGGGGCTCTCCAATCTCACCCAGCTKACGACGTTGCACCTGGAGGAGAACCAGATCACGGAGATGACTGACTACTGCCTGCAGGACCTCTGCAACCTGCAGGAGCTCTACATCAATCACAACCAGATCAGCAGCATTTCCGCCAACGCCTTCTCTGGCCTGAAGAATCTCCTGAGGTTRCACCTCAACTCCAACAAGTTAAAGGTTATTGACAGCCGTTGGTTTGATTCTACTCCCAACTTAGAGATTCTCATGATTGGAGAAAACCCAGTGATTGGAATACTTGATATGAATTTCAAACCACTCTCAAACTTAAGGAGTCTCGTTTTGGCAGGTATGTACCTCACAGACATCCCTGGCAATGCCTTAGTAGGCTTGGATAGTCTCGAAAGTCTTTCCTTTTATGACAACAAATTGGTAAAAGTTCCTCAGCTTGCACTTGAGAAAGTTCCCAATTTAAAATTCCTGGATCTCAACAAGAATCCAATCCATAAAATTCAAGAAGGGGATTTTAAAAACATGCTCAGGTTGAAGGAGCTCGGGATCAACAACATGGGAGAGCTAGTGTCTGTCGATAGGTACGCRCTGGACAACCTGCCTGAGCTCACAAAGCTGGAAGCCACCAACAACCCAAAGCTGTCTTACATCCATCGCCTGGCCTTCCGCAACGTCCCCGCCCTGGAGAGCCTCATGCTCAACAACAACGCCCTCAACGCCGTCTACGAAAAGACAGTGGAGTCGCTGCCGAACCTGCGCGAGATCAGCATCCACACCAACCCGCTCAGGTGCGACTGCGTCATCCACTGGATCAACTCCAACAAGACCAACATCCGCTTCATGGAGCCCCTGTCCATGTTCTGCGCCATGCCCCCCGAGTACCGGGGGCAGCAGGTCAAGGAGGTGCTAATACAGGATTCAAACGAGCAGTGTCTTCCAATGATCTCCCACGAGACCTTTCCCAATCACTTAAACCTGGAYATCGGCATGACGGTGTTTTTAGACTGCCGGGCCATGGCAGAGCCTGAGCCAGAAATCTACTGGGTCACTCCTCTGGGCAATAAAGTCACCGTGGAAAGCCTCTCTGACAAATACAAGCTGAGCAGCGAGGGCACCTTGGAAATCTCCAACATCCAGGTGGAGGACTCCGGGAGGTACACCTGCGTGGCTCAGAACATCGAAGGGGCCGACACGAGGGTCGCCACCATCCGGGTCAACGGGACGCTCCTGGACAGCACCCAGGTTCTCAAAATCTACGTCAAACAAGCAGAATCCCACTCCATCCTGGTTTCTTGGAAAGTCAATTCCAACGTGATGACTTCCAATTTAAAATGGTCATCGGCCACGATGAAGATCGACAACCCTCACATCACCTACACGGCCAGGGTCCCGGTGGACGTGCACGAGTACAACCTGACGCATTTACAGCCCTCCACGGATTACGAGGTGTGTCTGACAGTGTCCAACATCCACCAGCAAACGCAGAGATCCTGCGTCAACGTCACCACCAAAAACGCGGCTTTCGCGCTGGACGTTTCCGACCAGGAAACCAGCACGGCCCTGGCAGCGGTGATGGGCTCCATGTTTGCTGTCATCAGCCTGGCCTCCGTCTCTGTTTATATTGCAAAAAGGTTTAAGAGAAAAAACTACCACCACTCATTGAAAAAATATATGCAAAAGACCTCTTCAATCCCCCTGAACGAGCTCTACCCTCCACTTATTAATCTCTGGGAAGGTGACAGTGAAAAAGACAARGATGGCTCTGCAGAGACCAAGCCGACCCAAGTCGACACATCCAGAAGCTATTACATGTGGTAACTCAGAGGATATTTTGCTTCTGGTAGTAAGGAGCACAAAGACTTTTTTGCTTTATTCTGCAAAAACGACGAGTTGAAGACTTTTGTATTTTTGACTTTGCTAGCCCGTGGCAGAGCGGTGAGGACAGGTGGATATTTCAGGATTTTTTAGTATAGCGTATCGCAATGGGTTGACACAAATGGCAGCTTCACCTAGCTTCCAATTCTCTGTTTGTTTTATTTTATTTTTTTTTTCCTTTTTTTTTTTTTTTAATTTTTTTTTTTTTTATTGTGCTAAACTTAACGCTGTCCTAACTCCAGTGCTGAATGAAAAGGAGAGGCTGGGTGAGCCCACCCCGTTCTCCCAGAGCCATGGCAGGGTGGATCTCACTCTCCAAACCCTCAGTTTTGGACTGCTGTGAACGAGGTTGGTTTGTGACCCTGGGCTGAGGACTCAACCCTGAGAAAAGGAGACCCTGAATGATGTTAGTTGACTGTACTGTAATGTTGTATCAACTGATTTGAATGTTTTTGACTTTCAACAATGAGTTTTCTTTTTTATTATTTTTGTAGTAGTTGAAGGCTTAGGTAAAGCTAACAGGCAATAGGAATACGTACATCCAATTTTTTAATGTAACAGACTAAATGTTAATTGTTCTCTTATTCTTTTTATTCTATTTAGTAGACACTTTTGAAGAATTACTAGAGTTTTGTTGTGTTTTAATCACCAACACATGGTGTTTAATGAAGGCAGAGCTATAATAAATTTAGTTTTGTTCTGATTTTTTTATTTTAGAAGCCACAGTCATGTCTTGGGTTTAGATGGCACTAGTTTGACTGGTGATCATGTTTTGACATAAAATATATCCCAAATGTTATATAAAAATATTGTTGGGGTTTTTCTTGATGAAATGAAGTTCCAGGTTCAGTTTTTTTATGCATTTATGTTAATAGCAGTGTTTTCTCTGCACTAGAAGCAAAATATGGAAAATAATTTAATGAGAAAAATGTCTTGGTGTGGCTTTTGGACTGAGAGTCACCTGCAGAATCAAAACTGTTTGGCATAGGGTACACAGAAAAAGAACTTTCASAGAGTGTAACAGGACATTTTCCTTTTTATATACTTTTCTGTTTATATTCTGAGCTAAGATAAAAATGAAGCTGACATTTAGCTGTCATTACCATCACTTAGAACAAAAAAAAACCCAACTCAGTGCTACCAAACTGAAATAAGCCAGTTAAATCTTGGAATATATACTTGAAAAAAACCCCAAATTGGATTAATGTTCCTTCAAAAGCAGAAATTAAGATCAAAACTACCAAGACAGTTATGTTTGGTCCAGAACTGAACTGTATTTTTTACAGGCCTCAAATTAATCCATATTCTGAGCATTTTACTAAATTACCGTGGTCAAAGAGAGCAGCAGTGTTCTGTGTGCACTGGGTACAATATAAAGGCATCATTTACAGTCAAACCTACGGAAGCGTTGTCCGGTTTTTTTTTTCTGAATCCGTGAAGTTTTGCACCACAAGCAGGGTGGGCTCAGGTGCTTMCACCACGCTGCACCCCTCAGCACAAGCACAGCATTTTCTACACCTTATGGCCACCATCAATATGCAATTTTAACTTGTTTTTACATACCAAATGCATTCTTGGTAAGTAAAAKTTAATTGTTCAATAACAGATGTGCCTGGGGTTTGGGACTGTGGGAAGTTTTTTTAACTCATTGGCTCCTCAGATATGTCCAAGATACCCCCCAAAATTCACAGACAAGCTTCAAACTTATTTTTGCTTGTCCAAAAGGGAAAAGTTACCAGCACAGTTTCACTAATCAGCTGCCTTGGTGCAAAATGTGAGTCTTGGACAAGCTGCCCTAAGGGTCTTGTGTTCCARCATGAGACTGAAGGTATTAATTATGCATTTCAATCAAGTGCTTATGCTGCCACACACAATCTTTTCTATGTTCAGGAGATCTCATACATTTTTTATCATGTGACAGTTGGATGTTGGGTTAGGCAAGGGGCTTTTRATCCTGGAGAAGTAACAGGGTGAAAGCATTTACTCATCACCTTCTCCTGGATTTGTTTCTTGTGTTAGCAGGAAATTTCCTCATGCTGCCTTCTCCAGAAGAGCTTCAGAGCAATAATTATTATTTTGTCTGTATTCTAGTCTAACCTTAAAGCTGCAGGCATGATRAATTAAACTGAGATCTCCTCTTGCAGCAAAGAGAAAAGGACACTGAGGACAAGGTTGGCCACAAAATATTGGTGCCCACCTTGCATGGTATCCTGGAATTGTCTTTGGAAAAGAATTAATTGAGCAGTGTCAAAAGGTGCAAAGTAAGGCCCCTTGTCCATCAGCTTCCTGCAGCATTGTCCAGGATCACTGGGCTCTGCCTGAACCTCTGCCTTTTAATCTGGGTGGACACCTCACCTCTGCTCTGAGGAGTTGTTCCTCAGTGACCATGAGCTGATCTATGCACGGGGCTGCCCTCCAGAGCAGCCATCCTGCTCTCCTCCCTCTGTGCCCACCTCCCATCCGTGATTGCAAACAATCTGGGGATTTCTCTGCCTTCTGGGCACCCTTGTATGAACAGTCTGTGCTGGGGACACAGACCCACCCAGTGCTCTGTGTGTGTCACCTGGCTGTGTTTGCCCATCTGCACAAGGATGAGAAGGAAGGTGACAAGGACACGTGGCCACTGAGGAGGACAGAGCCACATCCCACAGTGAGCTCAACAATCTCCAGGATTCTGGGAAAGGGATGCTTAACGTGTTCCTCTCCACTGGGGAATAACGGCGCAGCGTTCCCTGTCCTTTTCTGTCATTGATCATCTCTTTAGAGCAGTGCTGGCAGAGAACTGCAGGGAAATGGCCTGAAAACAGCCACACTTCTCAGGGATGTGCTGATCTGCWGGATTGCAGGGAGCTGATGCTGCTGGGAATCCTGGAGGGACGTGTGGTCACCCGAGAGCAGCAAGAAGCACCTTGTTAAGGCCTTGAATTCTGCACACACAGCCACCTGTGCTAAGTGCTTTCAGCCCTTTAATCTGACCCTACAGAATGCTGTGGAGATCCCCTGGATGTTTAAAATCTTGCTAATAAAAGGATAAAAAGTGGGGAAGAGATWAATCACATGTGGCATATGATCTTAGTAAATAACCTTCAACCTTGCGCTAGCAGTTTTATTGTGAGCAAAAATAAAAATACTCTAATTGCCTTCAAAATGTATTTGCATCTACTCTTCACTGAAGACAAAAAACACCCCTGGTTTGCTGAGAATCAGGGATTGAGATTGGCTGAGAAAACAAGAGGGGAAGGCCACTGTGAGCTTTCATTTGGCTAACGGTTCAGAGAGGCTGTGTAAGAGCAGATATTTCATACCCAACTAAACTTCTGCACTGTTAATTCCCCTTGGTTGCCCAACAGTAAAATATTTCAGTCTCCTGAAGAGTAAWTAACTCAAGTGTTGGATGCAGTGTTTCAGCTAAACCCACTCCTGATTTCCTCCTCTAAATCATATTTTAATGGAGTGAGAGGGGATTTTCAACCCCAAACCAAGCTGGACCCAGGACGTGGTGTGGGAATGAAGAGCACAAGGCCACCAATATGATCACACAGCCCATCCTGCAGCCCTGCCCCAGGAGGCAAACACTCCCTGAGTCACTCAAGGTGCCTGTGAAAGGACCAGCAGAAACTGGAAATAGCTCAGGGAATCTGAGATGCAGAGAGAAGGGCATGAACTTGCCCCATTGCCCTGACAATCTGGGACAGCAGTGATAAAAGGAGCATCTCTGAGTTCAAACCAGGCAACTCCTTGTGCTTTGTGCTGGCAATCTTGAAAATAAGGCTGAGAACAAACCACTGCCATGAAATTGCTGAAATTGTTGGGATAAGCAATGGGGCTATCCAGCAATATCTCCACCACAGCAGAGGTACACGGGGACAGGACAGGTCCCCTGAGCACATCCCTGTGACCATCTCAAAGCATCACACAAAGGAAAAGCACACAAGAATGTGGGATTGCAGCGGGAAGGAGACATTTCCCAGCCCACCCATGCACCAGGAGAGGATGTTTGCTCTGCTCTGATCCTGTTCCACAGTCACCACCACAGCGAATACCAGGAGTTCCTGCTGCAGCTGCAATTTGCCTTCCTCTCCCTGTGTTGATGGCACAAGCACAGCACCCACACCCACGGAGCCTGCAGATCACCMAAACCCACACAGCCTGGAGGGCAGGGTGAACGTGCTGCCACGGGAATTCTTTCTTCAGGAAAAGCCAGAGTGCCTGAACTGCAGATCCCAGCACTGTTTCACACAACCCCTGCTCTAACACGGGCACCATTCCCTGCAGACACCCCATAACCCACCCCAGCCATCCTTTCCTTGCTGTGTCACACAGAGGGAAGGTTTTCTGTTGGTTTTCTGTTTCCCTGGACTGGTATCCCATAATCAGCTCAATCCAACAACTGCAGCATTCCGTGTTTGAGAGCTCCCATCCACCTCTCTCTGCCYCACATCAGCCTCCCCCAGCCCTGCAGAGCTCACACTCAAGGAACTGATTTGTGTTTGACTTTTCTTCTGCCTGCTTTCTCCTCCAGCCTGTTCCCCTTCCCCTCATCCTCCTTTCCCCTCTGGAGCCCTCATTTGCTGCTGGCTGTCAGTGACACTCAGATCACACCCTGTGTCACCTCCCTGTGCTCCTTCCACATCCCAAACCCTTCCCCTTCTCCAGCTCTCCTCTGCCCTCATTCCTCAGCACATCATCACCCTCTGTTATATCTCCTATCAATATGAGAGCAAAAAAAACACTGATTTTTCTTTTTAGAGAAATTCAGGAGATTTACCATTAAATTTGTACCGCTGTGTAGTTACGCCAAGTAGACCAAAGGAATGCTGAAGCATAATAAAAGCATCATAAACAGGTTTTTTTTTTTGAAATACGTGAAAATAAATACTTTGAAAAATCTGGAACTGATCATTAAGTAAAATATTCAAAAGTGACTAAATGACTTRAGAGCTTGCATCTCATTAACTGCAGTGGTGTGACAGGTTCAAAATCAGGTAAACGAGATTTTTCTAGGGTGCATCTGGAAGCATTAACTATCCTTTAAATTCTCAGCAGCTGTGAAACATTTTGTGTAGAATTTTATAACACAGATTTTTTTTTTCAAAAATCACTTGAAACCATAATTTTTATCCCCATTACGGGAGTAGGGGGATGGAATTTAAATTATATAATCCTCAGTGGAGTCACTGATTTGCAGTGATTAAAGAAGGTAAAAAAAAAAAATTCCCAAAACTTTAAAATCTGCAACTCCAGCTTTCTGCTCACAACTGGAGTAACAGCTCTTGGCAGATTTTTTCAAACAGGAGTTTTTCCTGCTGGGGCCTGTCCTTCCCTGGGCCTCCAACCTTTGGCTGTCAATCCCTCCGTGCTGGGTGGGATGGAGCCCCTCATCCTCCCTGCACACCATCAAACCACTCTGGACACACAAATCTTACTGCAGGAAAGAGAGAGCTGTGGAATGATTACAGCAAAGAGGTTTGGTGCTAAATTTCATTTCTCTGGCCCCCAGTTTTCCATTCAAACACAGATGCCATCACACCTGTACACAGCCAGGAGTTGGACTCCAGTGATCCTTGKGGRKCYCTTCCAACTCAGGSTATTMTATGAKKCTATAATTCATRTTTTTSRTAAGGAYSAAGCTTTTCTGACYTGCSTCCTGTCGGTGGGAGCCCAGGGTCCATTTCTAGAGCACAGCCTGCACCCACCTCCGWTTTCACAACAGGAAAACCAAAGAGGAAGCAAAGCTCAGCTCCGCCTGTGCCTCCCCTGGTCCCATCCCCCAGAATGAATTATGGACATTCAGTAAATYAGAACAGAATCAAGGTGCCCCCAGCAGCTGTGGCTGCCCCTGGATCCCTTTGAGTGCCCAAGGCCAGGCTGGACATTGGGGCTGGGAGCAGCCTGGGACAGTGGGAGGTGTCCCTGCCATGGMTGGGGTGGCACTGGATGGGCTTTAAGGTCCCTCCCAAACCAATCATTCCATAATTCTATAATAATCAATTGTCCCTCCCAACCCACACCATTCCATAATCCTATAATAATCAATTTTACTGCACCTCTGTCTTTTTTTTTTCAAACAAAGCCATGGCTGTTCTGCCGTGGCTTTGCAGAACCAGGAGTCAATAACTCCAGTACTGACAGAGTGTAACCATTAATACCATTACAAAGATTATCCTAAACATCTCCCTGGCTGAGTTCTCACCACTTTTAGCAAAATCTCTGGCAGTTTTTGTAGGAAACAGCTGATCATGTGCCATGATCTGTGTAAGCTGCAGAGCCAAGCAGTGCCCGATATTCTGCTGATCAAAACACACCAAGGAGAAGAGAGATCATCTGCAGAGCGCCCTGTTGGTACAATACAGGAGAGATTCTCTTGGTCTGGGGTCTGTTCCTGCCCCTGCTCCTCCTCTGCTGCTGGAG